GTCACTGTAACAATGATTAGCACTATTTCTGTCTGTAAGTTGTAGAGAGCTCAGCAATTTTCTTGAGCATTACAGAAAGGTGGGGCTTTAGCTTTAACTCAAACACGTCTGCTGAATTTTGTATCCATGGTTAGTTTCTTTGGCCTCTTGGGTATTTCCATTGTACTTTTGTCATTGGAATTTCCTACCCTTTTGCTATGGCATTGATGTTTACTAGATATTGATGATAGGAAGAGAAGATGAGTTGGAGTGCCGCAGATGCAGTAGACTACAAGGGATTCCCTGCTGACAAGTCTAGAACTGGCGGATGGATACCCACTGCCCTTAGCTTAGGTATGCAGGAATACAGCTCTTATGTTTCTTTGCAACATGTTGTTCTAATAGATTTCAATTATGCATTCAAGCAAGTAGCTATAAAACCTGAAGAGAAGAATATTGCCTTCCGGAGTGTTCATATTGTTGATGTACCAAGCCCACAAAACCCAGTCGCTGCTTGGTCCCTTTTTCAAACACATCTCATATGGAATACTCTGGACATTATTCTGCTGTAGACCTGAGTTCTTTCATCTCTGCATTCATATTCAAAACAAATTTTGAAACCCTGTAAATGTTCTGCAGATGAATTTAATTTTATTTCTACTTGGTTAGTAAACCTGTCCTAGTTTTTTTGATTTTTTTTTACCTCTTCTGTTTTCTCTCCTTCACGAAAGTTGTTGTTTATGTTACAAGTAATTTACCTTGTGCTTCCTAAGAAAGAAAATTTTAGAGTTAGGATGGAGGGATGGATGGAATATGAAAGGGAACATTTTTCTCTTAGTTGGTTTTGGTGAAAACTGAGAGGGAAGGAAATGAAAGAGATGCTTGCTTTCCATCCAAGTAAGACATCAATCTTTTTTATTTTTGACTGTACAAATTCTGCATAGTAGTGACCCAAAGTTAAGGAAAATCTGCTGTTGTACTGTTCTGCCTCTTGACTAAGGAAAACAGAAAAGAAACAGAAAAGTGAATATGGAGAGGAAACATGTTATAAGCATGTCACGAGAATTCCAATATCATTATAAGAGAACATACTAAAGTTTCTGAGAAAGAGAACCATTTCAGTTATGTAACATGGAGCAACTTGTATGCAAAAAATTCACAAGGGATAAGTTTTTGGCAGGCATTGAGATATGTGAGAGGCTCTCAACAATGGGAATCACTGTCAATCTGGTTACATACTTGGGTGGAACTATGCATCTTTCAAGTGCAACTTCTGCCAACGTTGTAACAGACTTTTTTGGGAACCTCCTTTCTCTCGTGTTTACTGGGTGGCTTCCTTGCCGATTCATTCTTGGACAGATATAGAACAATTGCAATTTTTGCCGCTATCCAAACCCTTGTAAGTGTTCTAAACCTCGGAATTTTATTATCATATACAGAAATGGTACTCCCTTATTTTTCTGATTTGGCTATTGACTTGACTATTGTGAATCAGGGGACAAGCATGTTAGCAATATCAACAAAACTCGAAGAGCTTCGCCCAACTCAATGTTATCCAACTGAACTTCTCAATGTTATCCAACTGAACTTCTCAATGTTATCCAACTGAACTAACTAAATGTAAACAAGCTACTGGCTTTGAAATGGGAATTCTTTATCTTTCCTTGTATCTAATAGAAATAGGCACAGGTGGCCTAAAGTCCAGCGTCTCTGGATTTGGCACTGATCAATTTGATGAGAAAGATGAGAGAGAAGGCACAGATAGCTTATTTTCTCAACACGTTTTTCTTTGTCATTAGCATGGGGACTTTGATGGCTGTCACAGTTGTTGTTTACATCCAAGATGAAGTGAGTCGAAGCTGGGGTTATGGAATTTGTGCTGCTTCAATGTTTGTTGCCATACTGGTATTTTTATAAGGTACAAAGAGATATAGATACAAGAAATGCTTGGGAAGTCCTATAGTTCAGATTTGCCAAGTCTTTACAGCTGCCATTGGAAAGAAGAATGCTAAATTACCTTCTGATATTGCATTTCTATACGAGGGTCTCCC